GTTATCTGCCAGCGGCAACGCGCGGGACACATCGTCCGCATAGTCACGCACCGGCAAGTCGATGAGTTGCTCGGCGCACGGACACTCGATCAGCGTGGTCGCGTCGACGAGAGGTACCTCGGAGTCGCGGGCCTCCTAGCGAGTCCATGTTGTTGGCCATCGGAGTGCGGTTCCAGTCCTCGAGCGGCCCGATGAGCGATCGCGCGGACAACTCGCGCGCATTGCCGTCGCCCAAGCCAACGCCATGGCGAGGAACATGATGTGCAGTCTCGTCGCCAGCGCGAACTTCCATCGCGGCTTCAGTGCGCCGCTGCGTAAGAGAGACTGCTGGTCCTGTAAGTCGAGCATAATCGCGCCAACGACCTCGGCCAAGGTGCCTTGGTTTGTGGACGGGACGGCGTTGCTCATATCCTTCTGCATCTGGAGGTGCGAGACGCGAAGCATTCGAAGGCGCCGCGAGTACAATCTCAATGCAAGCTGAGCTCCCTGGCGCGCGCGATGGCAAGCGCAGCCGTGGGCGTGGCGCGGCAGCTCGGGCTTCTGGCGCTTAGCGAACATGCCGCGGCGCCACGCGTTGCCAAACGGGCAAAAACAGCGAATCAATAGCATCGCCCCTGCGAAGCGCTGTGGGCTACCTTTTGAAAGTTAGAATGTGCGTGGCCAGTGCCACCGAGCTAGAGCGCGACACGACGTGCGTATCTGTCTGAACAATGCTTGCAGACGCTGAGCAAGCCGAGGGCAAGGCACATGAGGTGGAGGCCGAGCTTCCCGATTTGGAAGAGCCGCAGGCCGGCGACCATTATCGCCTCGAGCCTCGACTGACGCCGCGCGCATGATCGCGGGCCAGATCTCGCCAGTGGCCGAGCGCGACGGAGCACAGCGGCGACGTGCCGCATTTTCAAGACCGTTCAGGGTCTGAGTCCAGTCCACATGTGCCGTCGGCGAGGGGCGGCCACCGAGGTGCTTCCAGTCGCCATCGGGGCCCTCCTGCTCGCGAAGTTCTAGCGACAACTCTGATGGAATCACGGGGTGGGAAGACGACGACGGCCGAGAACCCCCCCTCTCACGCGCCGGCCTGCACGGTGTCGGCCCACTCCTCGAGCGTCGGCAGGTAGTGCGGCAGCGCGTCAGGGCGACGCCTGCAAACGCCGCGGTACTTGGCGCCTAGCTGGGACGCCAAATTCCAGACAGCGCTCGAATGTCCAGGGTCAGCACAACGTTGGGCTTCACGGAGCATACGTTCAATGTGTTCACGATCCAATCTGAATCTCCCACGACGAATCCCACGATCACACCGACGAATGGCGACTCTGTCCTCTTCGACGAAACAGTGCCTGCCCAAGTTACGCCTCTGAAATAAGAGATCATCGCGTCGGCGCCGGTACTCGCCAAAGGCCCAGCACGAGCGCCAGCCTGGCAATCCTCCAGGGCCGACTCGCGGACGTCCTGGACCAGGTCTTTCCGCGTCGCAGACGGGTCGTCCGGGCGAGCGTTGTCTCCAGGTGGGAGCATGAGTTGCGCTGCGCCTCTCCAACTCGCCAATCTGTCCAAGGGAGCCTCCATCTTGCACTAGCTTCGCCATGCGATCATGACCCCACCGCGGCTCCATTTCAGCGTCGGGGGTGGGATACGCCAGAGAAGCGGGCAGTGGTCCTTCGGCAGCGCGTGGGGTATTCCCTGCAGATTTCTCATTGCCCCTCGCATCGTGCAGCAAGAAATTGTGGAAGCGATGGCTCCTCGCGGGGCCCAGAAGTGATCAGGAATGAAACGTGTGGTCGGTTTCCTGCCCGAAGTAAGTGGGCCCAGTGGCATAGAACGAGTCGACCACTGCGAGCCCCTCCATGGTCATGATTCTCCAGAACTCTTAACTAGTGAGATTATCCGTGCCCGTGTTGAATGAGCCAAGAAAGACGTCGTCAGCAGAGTGATGCACCGCGCCTCCGCCCGTAGCGCGCGTGCCGCACTCGTAGTTTGAGTCCGAGCCGAGCATAACCAAGCACCGCGAGGGAGCACTCTGGACAGCTTTCTGGAGCCATCTCGCCAGACGTGCGACGGTCGACTTCCAATGATCGACCTGCGTGCGCTGCGGCGGCGGGAAGTAGGCGACCAATGTAAGAATATCGAAAGAGCTGTTGCGTAGACGCACTCCCCTCGCTCGGCCTGTCAAGTCCAGTGGCGGCTCGTAGATCTAGTGGATGTGGCGCCTGCGAAACACTCTCTTGCGCAAGAATAGGCTGCAGCTTGCCGATTTGTTCGTGAAGTTGCCTCGCTGCCAGCCGAAATTGAAAAACATGTGTTTGGCGCTCTGTTGCACCGTGGCGCCGTCTCCTGGGCGCCGCTTTCTCTGCGTCGCTGGGCAAGTTACCAGATCAGCAAATCCAAACCGAGAAAAGATATCGAAGGTACGCCATGGATCTGTCATAGAAAGTGGATTATAGAGTACGGTTTGCAGTAAAGAGGCCGCACATGGCGGGTGGGAGCGGGTCTGCAGGAGAGGTTT